AAGAAGAAGAAGAAGAAGAATGTCAGCATAGTTCTTACATAAGTCATGTTTGCAACTGGGGCGAGTGTCCCATCATAATTCATGCCTTATTCTTGTTTATCACCATCCAAATATAAGCGAGAAACTGAGATATGAAAGCAAAAATGTCGTACCAGGCTACGACAACAGATAACACTGTTGTTGAACCAGAAGAACACAATATTCCAACAAAAGTAAAGGATCATGTCTCAAGCTTGGATAGTGGTGATACCATGTCCATAAAATTAACTTTTTCATCATCTTTTATATTACTCTCTTCTATATATAAAACAAGCACTATAACTGATCATTTCATATTATTTTTAATTCATAAATAGGTTGATTAGTAGGCTAACAATAATACTTATAATAGGAAGAAATAATAACATGATCCCTATTATTATGAATTTTGTCTTTAGAAAATATGATGATATATTTCGTTTTATTAGTCCAAAACTTACGAAAATTTTGCAGAACAGAAAGAATGACTTCAAGTGGAAAAAGTTCTTTACAAACTCAGAAAATTTTGCAGACAGATTAAGTATACTTTATTTGCCACTAACATCTGAAGACGTCATTTCATGATGCAGCAACTGAGAACTAGTGTTGCAAAAGATACCTTAAATCCTGAGTGGAATGAAGAACTGACCCTTTATGTAAAAGATGTTAACATTCCAATACTTGTGGTGAGTACTGAAACAATCTATATCATGCATCAGTAGTGTTGTGTTAAATTCATGATCAGTTGGAACTGTGTTGTTCTATTCAGACAGTTACAGACAAAGACACTTTCACACCAGATGACAACATGGGTGATGCAGAAATAGATTTAAAGCCATATCTTCAGTGTGTGAAGCTGGAGTTAAGAGATCTGGCAGAGGGTCACATAGTGAAGCAGATTCAACCAGATAGGACTAACTGCCTTGCTGAAGAAAGCAACTGCATATGGAAAAATGATAAACTCATCCAAGAGATGACTTTAAGATTGAGAAATGTCAAGCATGGGGAAATAACTGTAGAAATTGGGTGGGTTACTCTTCCAGATTCAAAAGGCTTATCACAAGTTCAGTTTTAGGTGTTCCTACTTGCCTTAACTTTATGTTGTTTTCCATGTTTTACTATGTAACTTTGGAGTAACATCTAGAATGTAGCAAGTTACACAAATATATGTACTAATAATAAAGTGTTTTACCATTATTTTCTCTAAGAATTCACTTATGAAGTCTTCCCATCAGCTTATCATTAAAAGTTTTTCTACACATCATTATATACTTTAACATCTAAGTTAATTTAATACTCTTAAATTACATCTATCATTTAAACAGTCAGCACTTAAGAGAAATTTGCATTTGCACCCTGAAACAGAGGACGTATTGGTTCAATTTTGGTTAAAGGCCACATGTATTTTTACAACAAGGAAATGAACTCTAGTATGCGACTATTTTCCTTTCAATATGTCAAAATTAATACCTTTATTAAGAAGAATGTTAATAGTCGTCTTCTTGGTTTTTATTTTGGAAAATTACACTTGATCCTTTTATGTTATTTGACTCAAAAAAGATTATTGATTTTTATTTGTACCATATATAATCCTTCTCTTAGATGTAGTTGACATTATGCAAAATAAAACCTAGAAGCTACATATATGGAATAACTTGTTTTTATTAGTTTTAGAATTATGAGTATTAAAGATATTAATCAAAATTGAACTATTTAGTTATTTATTTTTTAAAATCATCATTTACTTAGAACTTTATTTTCTTTGAACTATCTACGTTCTTTCTAATTTTTTTTGGAATAATTTCTCATTCTTTTTCTTATTCAAACATCAACTAGGTGAGAATGATTATAAATGGTCTCTAAATTATCAAAATTTGGTTTGAATTAGTTTTCCTTTTGTTTAGCTTTTTCATCTTTTGTTTCTTTTTATTTATTTTTTAATATGCTAGGATTTTTACGAGTTTCCACTATGAGAAAATCAGTATTTAGTGTCAAATTTTGACTGATACTAATAAGAAAAGGTCGACGCTAAATAACTCTTATTATTCTCTGTGTCATATGTATGTGACACTAAAATCATGGACGTTAGTTCATTAAGCATTGGCTTTTAAGCCAACTTTTACTAGCTTAGTTGACATTAATTTATCACTAAATTTTAAATTTATTTTTTAATTAAGTAGTTTAGTAAAAGTTTTTATTATTAATTTCAATATTAGTTTAATTTACATTAACTTGGCCGACACTAATGATAATGATTTAAAAAAATTACAACATCTTGAGATTTAATATAAACAAAAAATAATAATTATAATGATTTAAAGAAATAAATATAAATGAAAAAGATGAATGAGAATGGAGATGCTAACTTGAATTATTTTTCATATTTATTTAATGTTATTTTACCGTGAGTCTCCACTTAATTGATGTTAACTTAAATAAATATAAATATTGAAAAAATAAGGTTAATATCTACTAAGGTTATCTTTTATAGAATTATTTTAGGGAAAATACGGAAAACTTTTGACTCAATCGGGTCATATGAAAAAATTTATTTCCTTTAATTTTATGAAGTACAAGTCATTATATAAAAAATATTTTTAATATTTTAATAAAAAATTTCTATTTATGTTAGAAAATAGAAAATAAACATGCATGCATCTTTAAATTTTTATCAACAATTATATCAAATAAATTTAAATCTAACATGTTTTCTTATTATATCAACCTTTCTTTTTTGTTCTACAGTCAAGTCAATAAATATTATTACTGAAAATTTATTTTTATTGTTCACATCAACAAACTTGATGTGTAGAGCATACGGCTTCAACTCAATTTCAACATCATCAGGTACATTGGGATGATTGATAGGATCATCACTAATACTCATAATCTCATCTTGCGAGCAAAAATCTACACTTGAAGTAGTTGACTCTCGTGCTTCATCATTAACAAATTCAACAATATATTTAGTAAAATTTTGTATGTCCATCAATAGACATATCAGCGTGATGTGATTCTATAATCGGTTGTTGATTTGATGTTTTAGCAAAATTAGCTTCAATTTTGTCCAACTTTTGATACAATTCTTTAATCATTTTCTTCAATTTAATATTCTGCTCAACCCATATTTTCAAAAGAATTTCTAACTTGAGATCATTTAGTTGACGTATAGATTTGCTTTTAGTACCACTCCAAAAGGCCTCCTAACTTGTTTTCTCGTTATAGCAACCTTTCTTTTTTGTATTGCAGTCAAGTCAACAAATATCACTACGACAGTGGCCTCGGTGAATGACGACA